CAGCTGCGTCTTGCCACCGATCGGCTATCGAAACGTAATGCTCGAGAGAATGAAAGTGAAGATCAACAACAACTACGTCTTGCCACCGATCGGCTATCGAAACGTAATGCTCGAGAAAATGAAAATGAAGATCAACAACAACTACGTCTTGCCAACGATCGGCTATCGAAACGTAATGCTCGAGAAAATGAAAATGAAGATCAACAACAAATACGTCTTGCTATCGATCGGCTATCGAAACGTAATGCTCGAGAGAATGAAAGTCAAGATCAACAACAACTGCGTCTTACTTCCGATCGGCTATCGAAAAGCACCGCTCGAGAAAATGAAAGTGAAAATCAGCGAAGGCTACGTCTCTCTGATCAACAGAAACGATCTGCCAGAAAAAAATTATGTAGAAGTCAACAAAGAGGTAGGCTTCTGACGAGTGGACAACATCAGTCAGATGCAATAAGATCGGTAGATCGACAGGGATCTAGAAGGAAATCAACTGAGACTCGTAATCTGCAACGTCAACAGCAATTATTAGAAAAGGAACAGCAAGTTTTGCTCAATCAATACGTCTGGCCAACCGAAATTCCAACGCAATTAAAAAATCACTGTTTGCAAGACTTTTCTAACCATATGTCGATGTCAGTTTTGCGACAGTCCATATGCATAATCTGTAATATTCGAGGAGCTAGTAATACAATGAAAGAATATCCTCTGCAAGATATTCATAGCTCTGATAAACTTTCTTGTCATGCGGATCTCCTGAACATTATATCTAAGGCGCACCAAGTAACGCAAGGTGAGTATATTGATCGATTGGTTACATTACTATATATTAGTCTATTTCAGAAGAGATGAATCAATGTTCAAATATTTTCTTTTCATCGAATGCGGTCTTCTACAAGAAAGGATACAATACAGAAATGAAAACTGGTAATATCTGTCAGCAATGCTACAGCGCATTATCGAAAGATAAGATTCCAATGTTCTCTGTACCGAACAAGATGTGGATTGGCGATGTGCCACTTGAACTTCAACAATTGACAATTGCTGAAGAAAAACTGTAAGTCATTAAGTACCATTAAAAAATTAAGCGTAGTATTATGTAAATCTTTTTTTAAAGTATCTCTCTTTATCGACACAACAGCTGTGTTATCAAGTTACAATCACCCTTTCATCATCATTCTACTGCTCAAACTGCACTCAAGGGTAATGTGATTACATTTATGCACAACATGCCAAATATTGTGACAAGTCTACCATTGGATGTTGAAGATCTTTCTGACACGCTCAAAATTATTTTTATCGGTGCCCACACACCAGATCGCGTTCAACTGCGTAGAGTTTGTGGCGTTAGACGTCAAAAAATTCGCAACGCTCTAATTTGGCTAAAAAACCACAACTACATGTATCAAATGATTCCCAGTAAGTTCTTGAGTAATGCTTTTTGAAAATATCGTGTACTCGATCATTTTAGTAAACGAAGTCAATATTGCAAAATTACCTGAAGACGACGTTCCAGAAAGTATTTGGACAACATTAGAGAGAATAGAAAATTCTATCGATGGGAATGCAGAACGAACTGGATTTACTGTCGATCCATTAACACATGCCACAGACCAAGGTGAATCTAACATAACAAATATTTGTCCGATGAGTACTAGGTAAGTTCATGTAATAAGATAATAAAATTAAAAATATGAATTTATTAGTGCTGTACTGGATGTCAATGGAACAACTATCTCTTCAGAAGATATTGGTGTGCATTTGCTTCACAGAGTTAGCAATAATTTGTCTAACTCGTCGTCTGAGTCACCAGACAAATCTGCCGAGGACGAAGACAATATATATATGATTCCTAGATCTCATATGCCAATCAACGATTGTTTTAATCCAGAACTACTACTCGGTTTATATCCAACACTTTTTCCTTATGGATGTGGAGCACCTCAAGATTCATCAAGACCAGTTTCAGTGTCACTCGAGCAGCATATCCGTTATTTACTAGCATATGATGATCAACGCTTTGAAAAACATCATTCATTTTTGTTTGTTCTCTTCAACATAATGCAACGACGACAAGCATGCTGGAATGCAACTCTTATGGCTTCTCGTCCTTACTTTCAAGATGCTGCTAGTGATCTTCAAACATTGACAAGTAAAGAAATTGAGGCTGCACTAATAACTATTAACAAAAAGACGTTCTCTTCCGTTGACAATCCACGAATTAATATGTTAATGAGGCAAATTAAAACGGTGGGTGGAAATGTCATGGGTTCGGCTTATTCACGAGCTGCTCTTCGAAATCAGATCCATGGTTTGATATTTAACCAAGGTTTACCCAGCATATTCATGACAATAAATCCTGCCGACATTCACAGTCGAGTTGCTCTCTATTTTGCCGGCGTTGATCTTGATCTTGATACAATTATACCAGAAAAAATCCCATCAACGTACGAACGTGCTCAAATTATAGCCTCGCATCCTGTGGCTACGGCTCGTTTTTTTAATGTTCTCATCTCGTCTATACTTAAGTGCATGGTAGAAAAAGGTGTGCTTGGTCCAATTAAAGCATACTTTGGTACAGTCGAGAATCAAGGCCGAGGCTCATTACATTTACACATTCTTATGTGGCTTGACCACAATCTAACGCCTTCACAATTAAAAGAGTCAGTTCAAAATGAAGAATTCCGAAAAGGACTTCTCAACTACTTGGAGGACATTGTCAAACAAGATCTCAGCAACTTTGATATCTCTGGAACAAACGGTAAAGCTATTTTTCTAAGTTTTGTTTTAATTATCTGATAATAAGCTTTTTTAGTACATGAACAGCATATGGGTACTTCTTTAAACGATCATCACTCCACTGATCCAATGTCAAATGATATGCTTGTAACGGCAACAAACAAAAGTAAGCAACATCGTTGATGAAGTCTGAGAAATATGTTTTGTATTTAGATCTAGCGCAATTGGAGATTAATACCACAAAGCCAACAACATCGATCATGCCAACACCAAAACCATCGATGCCCGACTTTGAATTCACATTCAAAAAAGACATTGTAGAGCTAGTAAATACCTGTAATATTCATATTCACACCGCAACATGTTATAAATATTGGAAGAAACATGACAATCCAATATGTCGTATGCGAATGCCACGGCGGATCGAAAATGTGTCATCCATTAACATTGAATCTGGTGAAATTAAGCTGAAACGGTTGCATGAAACAATTAATAATTTCAACGAATATATTCTCAGTGCTTGTCGTTCTAATATGGATATTAAGTATATTTTCAGCGGCAGCGATGCCAAGGCGTTGGTATATTATATTACAGATTATGTAACAAAGTCGAGTCTCTCGTTTTATGATACATTTTCCTTAGTATTGAAAGCTGTTCAGTCTTTTGAAAAGCAGAAGCTTAATATGGATGCCATTGCCAATGCCGAAGAGAAATCACGTCGACTTGTCTTGCGTTGCTACAACACACTTGCGTCACAGCAGGAATTATCTGGGGTACAAGTGGCTTCTTATCTGATGGGCTGGCCTGATCATTATACAACACATGAATTTGTCAATCTATTTCTCATCGGCATTGAGAATTATTTACAGACAATGTTATTAGAAGCTCAACTCAAACGTCAGCGCCAAGGGACAGGTAATATCTATCATTTTCTGCGTTAACGAATATATCCCATATTCATATACATAACGTCGTGTATCATATGAGGGAAAACGTTTTTGTCAGATTTTTATCTCTCACTAATATGTATATATGTAAGCTTACTATTGAAAACTACAAGACATGATAAAATTTAGTTAGGTGCTAAAACACGATATGTTCTTACTCATCATAGAAGAGTGAACTACTGAAAGAAAGCCGTGAAAAAGACTTAATTTAATTATGGACTATTTATTTAATATCAGAACATCTTTTTACTTTAATAGATACTACTACTGATATCGATAATGATGAAAGTTGCATAGAAACAGAAGAACAATTCTTACTTCAACCTGCCGAGACCAACAATAAATACGTATACGTAAACACCCGAATAGATTATCAACATCGTTCAACTGCGCTTGATAATATTTGTCTATATGATTACATTCGTTTATATCGAAAAAAACCTGCTGATGCAAAAGATCGAAAACAATTAAAGGCTCAAGCAGAAATGAGAAGTGTTCAATCAAAAGACCCGCAACGTGGTCGACCATTCTCAGAACGAGAAGCTTTTCTAGTTGGACATCCACAAGCCGCATCGCATATAAATATAAAGCGTATGAAACCGGTCGTTCCTGTCTTACTCGGTCCACCAGTGCCTCGAAAAGATCGAGATGATACCAAAGAACGTTACTGTCGATCCATTCTTGCTCTTTTCGTTCCTTGGCGATCTATTCAAGATGTATGTGGTGTCGATCAAACATGGGAAGAGGCGTTTCAGATTCGTCAAACAAGAATTCTACCTACCTCATGGAAAATTATTGACAACATTCAGTTATTACAAGAATGTAAGAACGATCGTGACGAACATTTGCAACAAGTGATTGAAGCTGCACAAACTGAGACTGGCGGTGATTATCTTTATTCAAATCGTAACGACAGTGACAGCGATGATGAGAACACTGAGATTCTCGATATATTGGAAGCCATTGACATAACTGGTATTCCTACCATAAACGACAATGCAAGCAAATCAGAGCAAATATATTTTGAAAGAATAGTACAAGCGGTTGATCAAGCTAATCGATTTGTTAATATTCGAAGTAAGACTCTTCATTTTCAGAAACTTTTCATCACTTATTATCATTAATAGATTCGCGTATGAGATCGACAAATCGTCTCATATATTCCTCGATATCGAATAACTATCTTAATGTTGAACATAAACATCTGGTACCAGCTACCAGTGACCTGATCCAATTAAATGACAGATGGCAACGAAAAATTAAAGAAGATAAAGAACGAATACGAAATGCCTCTATATGTGAACCATTGGAAGACGGCTTTATAGAGAAGCATGACACTGTTGAAAAAGAATTGATTGAAACGCTCGAAGATAGTGTGCCATCAAATTTTGATAATGAAAACTGGCTCTTAAGCTCGAGATCCATTATACCAGTCACTAAAATCACTGTACCAAATGAAATAACTCGAGAGAGTATAGCAACACAATTTACACTCAATAAGAATCAAAAGGCTGCATTTATGATTATTACTGGTCATTTGGACGGGCTAGATAAACTCAATGAAGGTACGATGATAGAGTCGACAAACTATTTTTCTATATATCACTTTTGTAGGTGACAAACAAGATCAATTAATTATGTGTGTGCCTGGTTGTGGTGGTACAGGAAAATCTCAGTTGATCCGTGCCATAACCGCATATTTCACACAAACGAACCGTGCGCACAAACTTAGAAAACTTGCACCAACATCAGTTGCCGCAGCAGAAATCGAGGGTATGACAATTCATTCATTTCTTGGTGAAGGACGAAATCGAAAAAAGAAATCAAAAAACATGGACCGTCCTGGTCAGACGAAACTGGAAAACGCATGGCGTTTTGTCGAATACATCATCTTAGATGAAATGTCAATGGTTGGACTCAGTTTATTGGCTCGACTAAATAAACTTGTTGCAACAGCGAAGCACTGTGATCCCATGACTACAATGGGTGGTATAAATCTTATTCTGTTCGGAGATTATATTCAGTACTCGCCTGTATTTGACAAACCACTTTATTATAATTTTTCGACGACGACAATGGACAACAATACAAAAAATAATGGAAAGCTATCTACTGAAAACGAAATACAGCAAAAAAGTGCTCGTGCATTAATTTTACAAATAAACTGTGTTGTTATACTTGAACAGCAGATGAGAACGAAAGATTTAGCGTATCGAGCTCTGTTGGATAGAGTTCGCAATGGTGAAGGCAGACATGAAGATTGGCTGTTACTTCGAACACGTGTGATTGGCCTGGGACTTCACATTTCTCTTAACGATCCACCATGGAACAAGGTATGTTATATATACAACGTATCATTCGATACAAAACATTTCATAAGAACATTATATAAATCGATTTCAAAATGAAAGAATAGCCTATAGTGAAAAAAATCAACTATTTTCTGAGTCATAAATAGTCAGGTGAATTCTTAATCAGAAAAACGTTACGTAATGTTGGCAGCAGGCTTTTGTCTGACATTTTAATTAACTGTTGTAGTGTTCTCTGAATAAAGCACCTAACCATTATATATAATTAATTTTCTGTTTTTTCGATTTGCAATTTTAGGCTCCAATTCTAGTTTATCGAAATGAACTTCGAACAGAACTGAACAATCGAGCGGTAGTCAATAGAGCATATGAAATGGGTCGATCACCAACTGTCGTCATTGCTACGGATACAATAAAAGCCAAGAAACACATTGATCTTCCTGACCTAGCAAAGCGTCTTCTCGCTTTGCCTGACAACAAAACAGAACATTTACCCGGCTATCTACCTCTCGTACCAGGCATGCCAGTGTTATTACAAGAAAATATTGCTTGTGAACTTGGTCTTTCGAACGGCACACAAGGTATCTTCTGTGAGTTAGTTTATGATCATTCGTCAGAACTTACTACCGGTTCTGATGAAGAACGTTTTACAACTGACACTGTCTTTGTGCGCAATGCTCAATATGCACTGGTAGAAGTACCCAAATCCAAATTGAAAAATCTAGATTCACTCGATCCATTTATCATTCCTATACCTGTGATCGAGAAAACGTTTGACATCAATCTCGAGAAACTATATGCAGACAAGGGAGCAATTATGAAAATGTTCAAAGATAAAAAACTTAAGGCTACTATTTCTGTGAAGAGAAAAGCATTGCCACTTATACCGGCCTACTCTATTACTACTCATAAGAGTCAAGGTCAGACGCTGCCAAAAATAGTTATCGATTTGAATATGCCACCGGGAATGGTAGAAGTGGCATCTGCTTATGTGCCACTATCACGCGTGGAACAACTTACAGATCTCGTTATTTTACAAGACTTCAACATCAGTGCTTTGCAAGTAAAACCTTCTAAAGGACAAATCACTGAGGTTAACAGACTAGCTGTACTTTTTCAACAAACAAAACAACGTTATGCTCAATATTTCCTATGACATGTTGTGAGACAAGTTTGCACCTTCTCACATTCACCACAGCCAAATAATTCAATTTTTTGCTCTCGTCATATATTATCACGACGAAATTTCTTCTTTATACAATCGACTGATCTTTATTTGATTTTATCAACGCTAACAATAATTTTCACGATGGCTATGATAATCAATTAGTTAACAAATAAATAAGCGCACTCAGTTTTTCGAAGACGACTTTTTGATCATTTTGCTTTTTTCTATTGATTGTGCTATTTCTGAGTGATTTTTTCTGTTTAATGTTTTGTGTAATTCTTATTATTGTATTCATCAAAAAAATTTAAAAAAACCAATAATGTTTTCCTTTTGTAATTTGCTCATTTATTTCAGATATTTGTAAAAAGCATTTCACTCTCCTCAATCAATCTTCCTGATCAACACGAATTAGCAACAAACGTCGTAAGTGCATCAATCATGAAATACAACATTACAATTATTCTTTCGCTCTGCACTCTATTTCCTTTGCATGTTCTTACTCACTTTAATAGTATTTTTTCAGAAAATACTACGATTGCACATCCTGAAACAGGTTTATTTCTTAGTTATGTTGGTTTGTACACACCATCTGAAACAATCGTTCATAACTCAGCAATTTTTCCGATGACTGCAGCTACATGCCACTTTTTACCTCTATCAGCTGCTCAGAACATTGCTGCTTGCAATATTACAACAAAAAGACAAAAACGTCTCATTACCGATTTCATTAGTCTAGGCATGGGAGCTATCAATCTCGGTATATCTGCCGCTAATAGTATGCAAATATCAAACCTTCAGAAACAAGTAGCAGTCGTGGAAAAAGCCCTCACAGAATACTCTCACAATCTGCAAATACAGGGAGCCCAACTAGCAAAAATTCATGCAAATCAGATTGAATTGGCAGATGAACTTCGAGTAACACAACAAGTTCTCAATACTATGATCCCTATTTTAAGCTCACACTCAGAATCTATTAATACTCTTAAAAGTGGTATTGAACAGTTACATATTCAGCTTCAACGGTCCTTTCTCTATTTAGCGATAACTCAGATCCTTCGAAACGATCTCACCTTAGGCTTTTTGTTGCCAGACGACTTGTATAAAGTAATTTATCACGTCATCCAACAAGGAAACTTAACATTTAATTCTCGACATGGATCAATTCCTGTTGTCCAAATCATCACTAAACTTCTTGTTCGTCAACAGATAGACTTCATTCCTAGTTCACAATATAAAGCTCAGAATCCGCAGGAAATTGGTCGTCTTGTCATCACTAGTTTTTTCGCTGTTCCACAACAGAAACACACCTCCTTTCTCACTTATAAATTACTGGCGGTTCCCTTCTTTTATAAGAATCAAACTCTGCAACTAACTCAAATTCCTCGATACTGGGCCATCAATCCAACAAATAACATGACTATGGAATGGCATGATCCTCACGAATCTGGATGTGACCTCCAGTTAATGACATCATGCCGTGATACTCCACCAATTCAGACAATGCCCGAAGAAACTTGCCTAGGTCACATATTAGGGAGTCGTCCATTATCCATTTGTCAAACAATAGTACTCCCTCCTTTACAATTTTTTGTTCAACAGCTAAGAGATAATCTGTACGTCACTTCGTCACCTGAATCTCTTCATTGTTTGAACATTCCAGAAAGTGAATATTCCATCATTCGGCAACAAGCTTGGAACATGAACGAAGAACTAGTTCTCTCACCTGTCGCTCTTGTAAATGTCACTCCAGGTTACGCAATCGCATGTCCAAAATTCACCTTAGTAGGCCGGGCAATACCTTCAAGTGCTCCTTCCCTCGTAATTTTGTACAACAATAGTTTACTTACTAATAACATATCTGTTGTGGATGTTTATCGATACCTAAAAGAGAATACGTCGTGGTTCAATACAAAGCCGGGCGAACAAAGAATGGATGCTCTCATGAAACGAATACATGAGCCATTTACAGTTCCAGTTACTAAGATCTTTGAACCTAGTCGTAATTGGTGGTCTCTTCCTATGTCAATTATCAGTTGGATGCTTTTCGGACTGGGCTGTGTCGTGTTATATTGTGTTTTTCGATTTAAGCCAAGGGCAATCTTTCGAAAGCGTTAACTATTTTATCTTCCCAGCATTAATAATAAAAAGCATGTAAATAATTAAATCTAAAAAAAAGAAAAAAATATTCTCTTCCCTAGTCAATGATATTCAACGAAAAGTTTGTTTACCAACTTTTAACTGATCCACGTTTGACTGCAATAAAATCCGTTCACATAGAAACATGGTCGCCTCTTCCAACACCATCAACAGCATTACATTGTAACAGCATGCCAACCCAAACGAAATCAAATTTATTCAAACAACAACAATGGCAAGAACATGAAAGCAGCTACCAACAACACTTAAAGCCTCTGATGTTACTAGAGTGTGGCCCATCATTTCATCGAAACTATCGTACTATGCCTTACCCAATACCACTCATGTCATTACATCCTCCTTGTTATCAGTCACCATCTGCTGGTTCAATCAATACTCAAACAAATCTTTGTAACAAGTGGACATCCGATCGTTTACATAATAATTCGAAACGGCATCGCCAAATAAACCGACACAAATATTTTAAAAGTCATTCGAAAAGTAAATTCAATCCCAAGCCTATTAATAATATCAACACAAATTCACGAATAGCAGGAACAATACAAAATGAAATGAAGGAACCAGAAGAATATGAAACACCTTCAGTAATTGATGAATCTTCTCTAGATATCAACGACATTATTCATACGGAGATGATTGAACTCTCATAAATCGTTGAATTGGCAAAAATGTACTTTTAACTGTATAAATTGATCTATTCATTGTAATTTTATAACCATTTATTTATACTTAGATAAATTATAAAATAATCAAGTTTTCAAGCGTTCAGTTTTTTTTGTCTGTATATACTTTATTCTAGTGTTTTGTTGTTTTTCGTAGTCGCATTTAATTAACTACTAATATTGAAGCACATTGATTTGTATTAAAGCTTCTCTTCTCGTCTTTTAACTATTTATTATTAGACACTTGTACTTGTATCGGAGCATTCATGTCTGGATGTAGGTGTGTAATAGTGTATATCACAGTTAGCATTTACTTTCTATGACATGAAGAACCAAATCACTTTTTCGATATTAATCAACATGTATCAATTTTTTCTTTTTTTTCTACACGTTGTACATATCCATTCAATAATTATGACAATAAATCACGATTGAGCGGATTGCTCTATTTTCAAACTAACTTTAAAGCCAAATACAATACAAAATCATAGTAAACTCCCTCTCAATTATAAAAAAAATTCAATTCTTTCAGAAAAGGGCCAGCGAATCCATAGGATGAGCGTTACTTGTAAATATTAAATAATCATAACTCTTAGGATAATTCATTTAGAATTGTTGTATTCGATAAATTATATTTCATTGAATTTGTCAGATAAAAATCAACTTACTACATGTTTACTTCGATCTTCAGTTATTGCATCAATATATTTAATAGTTTCACGTATTTTATTTACAATTTTTCATATTAGTGTATCCATATGATAAACATCAATAAGATGATTATGAAAACTTCGATATGGATCAACAATCTAACACATTATTTTTAATCAAACATATTATAGTTGATATATTTACATTAACAGCTCGTGAAATAATATTAGAAAATGATCCTAATAAACCATGATATTGACATATATGATTACTTAATTTTGTTATAATCTTTTTTTCGATATAAATGAATACAATGATGTTTTTTTGCTAAGATCATATAACCATCATTCATCCATAATGAACATGTAAGAGCAATTTGAAGAGTTGGTAGATTTAGAATCTAGAAAAAAAATAGAAAAAAATTCACAAAGCAACAGTTTAGATATGTTTGTTTTACAATACCATGATTATCATCATCAATAATAATTGGTTCACTAGAAAACATATAAAATGAAAAATATTATTTCTCATTCATTGCTTGTAATTATATTTTCACTATTATTTAAAAATATATATATCTATCCTATTGATTTTAATAATATCAGTTTACTTTTTCATTTGCCATTATTAATATCTAGAATTAAACTATCACAATAAAAATTAATCTATTTTAATCGATCAAAATCTATGAATAATGCATCAACTTCTAAAAGATTCTAATAATAATAAATTCTTTTGTATAAAACTATGACAACAAACAACTATTTTTTTTTGACTCAATTGTTTTAACTTTGACTTTAGTAGATAAATTATTTCATGATCTAGGATTAATTTAGAAAGAAAAATAAATTTAATACAATTTAATTATTTAGTAAATTTTATTACTATCAGATAATTTCTAATAAAGATTAATTATGTTGATATAGTATACATATATACATTTTCTCTTCGTCTTCTTCTTCTCTTCTGTCAGTATTAAACTAAGTACTATAATAGCTATTTTTTTTCATTTTTATATCTGAAATATGTACATGTTTTCTCTCATAATGTGTATTTATAGTCTGACAAAGATTTTGTTTTTTTAAATAAGGAAAAATATCACATTTTGTTTTTATTTTCATATGAACAATAATATGAAGTCAGTTATTCATTTCTTTTAATTGATAATAAATATATACGAAATACAGATGAATCTTTTCTTTTCATATCATATATATTACTGCATTTTTCTATTACTGCCGTTCTTTATATATAACCACATATATCTTTATCGATTCTGTGTTTAATAACCGTCAATAAAAGTTTATCTTAAATTCATAAATAATAGTGCACCCTATACTGACATCATCAGGGTATAATAAGGATAAAACAAACAACACAGTATCCTCGCAAGTGCACTAATACTTATTCTCAATTTTATTACTTCAATAATAACACATCTAACTTTCTGCGTAAATATGTATGTCGTTAACTCTCTTCTTAGTTTTTATTTAAAACTATTTAATATTCAAATCAAGATCAAGAAAGTTCTTACTTACTGATTCATGAGACTGTTACTGTTTTTCTTGAGTCATCGTTTTTAATTTTTCAATAATTAATTGAAATTGTTCAACATCATTAACTAATCTTTTATAATCATCCAATTCTGTTCATATTCATAACGAATTTTATTGACATTAACTATTGATGAATAAATCGACCCAAGACTTTTAAGTTCTAATTGATGATCTTCTAAGTGTTTTCTTATTGTGTTTAAATAAACAATCATGTTTAATGAAATGTTAAAGATAAACCATTTTTATTCAATCATGTGCACAATCGAATTTACTATTAGTTGATGTAGAATTTTCTCCTGAAATAACAGATGATGAAAAATTAAAACAATTTAATACAAATAGAAATAGAAATTAGTGTATTCACTATGAAAATATAAATAGAATCAATTCATTTTGGACTATTATAAATAAAACATGTTCTTCTTCGTTCTTTTCCATTTATATTTACGATAGATGTATCGAACATTTCTTTGACGTACAGTCACGTTGAAAATTCTCTTGTGATATGTGATTCATATATATTCTATTCACACTCTCGATTAATACTAGCTACTGGAAAAAATTTAGACGCATATGTTGAATCCTTCTATAGATGAATTACTTGTTTATAAACAATGTGACTCGATAAGAAGTCAGTGATGAAACGATATTCAAAGATCGAAACGTGTAAAACTATGTGACATTACTGAGTCACTGAGTGACACTGAGTCACAGGCTTCGTAGTCCTCCTATATTTTCTATATTTCCTATATATTTAAAAATGCTCCTATAAATTCCTATTTTTCATGCATTTTTCCTATTTTTCCTATATTTAGAAGAAATTAATTTTTTCAAATGAAATATATATTTTTTCGATCAGCAGCAACGCAGAGCTTCTGTACATATGTTATTACTTAGGTCTGACCAAAAGTTCGTGCACTTTAAAAACAAAATATGAAGATAAGGAGATATTTTTTATCTTATTTTATCAGATGTTGAGGATAATTGCCAGTATTATTTATATTAAGTTCGATCCTTTCTAACAATTTGTCAAAAGTTTTTTTTGAAGTCTTTTTCGAAAAACAATTTTAGGTAACTTGGGAATCGCATGAATTAATCATGTTTCATCTATTTAATCAGTTAAACTACGTTTGATAGAATTAGTTAGCCAAAAATTACATAGTATCAGGCCTGGCGAATGTGATGGATATGAGATTATATTTGTCTTTTCTGTCATATAAATAATGATAGTGGATGAGTATGAAGTCAGCGATGGTCTTTAATCATTTTTGTATATTTTTAACCTGATGTCTGAGTTTGTTTTCATATTTCATTAACAAAAGGGTTCAGATAATTTTCAGTATCATACTTGTGACCCACAGTCTTGACTTTGTCTATATTATGTGTAAAAACAGGACCATTTGATTTAAAGAATATACCAGACAAAGTTTGGGTTAAAATTTATCTGCATGAACAATAGTCTCTGACGATTCATCTTCAATAAGCCAGCTAGCATCAAATGACTTATAAATAACCTATATAAAATAAATCGAGATCCCATCACTAGTAATGCTAGAACTCAATTGGCATGATTCAACAAATTTCGCTAAATTTTTAAAAGAGATGAAACATGATTAATTCATGCGGTTTCCAAGTTACCTAAAATTGTTTTTCGAAAAAGACTTCAAAAAAACTTTTGACAAATTGTTAGAAAGGATCGAACTTAATATAAATAATACTGGCAATTATCCTCAACATCTGATAAAATAAAATGAAAAATATCTCCTTATCTTCATATTTTGTTTTTAAAGTGCACGAGCTTTTGGTCAGACCTAAGTAAATTCAACTGAGACCATATCTTCTTTTAATTATTTTCGAATTGAACTTTTTAAGTATTTTCTCCAGTAATTAAAAAGTGTATATTTGTTTCTGATTTCTTGGCAACTTTGAGTAAGATAGCTAGTTATGATATTATGAGCACTAAGCAACGTTTGATATAAGTCTATTATAGGCGTATTACTGAAGAAAAAAATTCCTATATATTTCCTATATTATTATGAAAATCCTATATAAATACTACTTTTAAAATCCTATATTTTCCTATATCCTCATGATGGGTCGCTACGAAGCCTGAATTTTCAAAATTTGTTGTCGTAAATCATCTAATAATGTTTCAACACTATATTGACAATTAATAGATGTTGTTAATAATGATAATGATGATGAAACTTTATCCAGTGAATCACAAGTTGTATGAAAATAAAAACGAAATGATGGATTACAATACAATCGACGACCACAATAAATTATTAAATTTGAATCTAAATAAATATTTTAAATTTAAATAAGAAACAAAGAAGAAAGTTGATATACCATCATTAAAATTTGATTCTTGTGATGTTGCTTTCCATTGTGCTAATGGATAAAGAAGACTATTTAATTTATTACAATTTTTTATATAAATTTTTGAAGCAGATAAAAATGATTGTTCAATTGACATTACAACATTATGTTTTGATCTTTAAAATAAAAAAAATTATTTTAATATTTATTGCAAAACTGACTATTTAGTATAAGAATGAAACATACTGATCATCAAAATGAATGTTTTCAAGATTATAATATTTTTCTATCCATTGATCATATTGTCCAAACGGATCAATAAGAAGTGGAGGATATTCAATTGATTTAATAATAATTGTATGATTTTTCATTTCTGATGGTAAAACTCCATTATTTAACCATTCATAATATATTTGATCACTTAATAAGAATTTTATTAAAGAAAATAACATTTAATGATATTCAGGTCCACCAAATGATTTTTGTTCGTCAATTATCTAAAAAGAAATTTTCTTTGTAATTTTTCAAATTAAAATAAAAATTTTATTTACTTGTAGTAAATTCTCTTTAACAGGATCTAATTGCCAATTTATAATTCGACCTTTAATACTTGATATTTGATCAAAAACAATAGTCATTCCTCTATCTCGAATACATTTAATCCAATGAACAGTTAACATAAGACGTCAAAATCGATATGTATATGAATCAAGATAAGTTAAAAAAGCTGATGCAATTGTACATGTACCATTTAATGTTGATTGACGTTCTACACTTGTTTCAAATATTTTACTTGTTCGTTCTAATTCTCGAGATAAAATCTAGAAAAATAAATATTTTAATTTATTTCGATTTTATGAAAAAATTTTTAACAAACTTGGTTTAATTCTGATGCAGTTTTTAATTGATTTTCTTTCATTGCAACTGTTTCTTCTTGATCTTTCTTATCAACTGTTGCTTCTTCAAAATTTTGTTAAAGATCTTTTAAAGGAGCTTCTAATGCCTAATCATATGTATTTTATTTTAATATAAAAATGTTCAACAATAAGAAACTAACTTGACTTTTATTATCTAATAAAATTAATTTTTGATCCTGTTCTAATACATCTTCTTCAATTTCTTTATATTTCTGATGTATTGGTCGAACTTTTTTAAGTAAAACTGTATGATATCTATATAAAATAATAAAATAATAATAGTAATATTTTTTTTCCAAATAACTAACTGTAAAACTTGTTTAACTCATTTCTAAAGTGTTAAAACAACATTATAATAAGATGTTTGATTAAGTGATGTATTTCAAGCTGAACTTTATTAATAATTTCACTAATTAACTTAATATGTTCTTCTGTTAAAATAATTTTATCAAATAATTGAGTTTCTTCAATCAATCTATCAAGATTAGCTAATTGTCTTTTCGCATCTTTTTGCCATGTTATATCAGCTGTTGGAGATTTTATTATTATTATTAATATAAAATTTTACAAAAATAGAAAAAATCAAAAAAATATTCTAAACTTACAAATCATAATAATAGCAGCTAATGTATCTTCAACTGGTTTTTCTGCTTTAGTAACTAATCTTAATTCTTGTAATGATTTCATATCAAGTTGTTCAATTAATTTTCTTGCATCAGTTGCAATAGCTAAACATTTATAAAGATTTTTGTTTCTTGTATTAATTCATATTGAGGTAATAATCATTTTAATTGAACTGTTCGGCGTGTTTGAGATTTATATGTTATATACAATGAATTAATTATCGATTCTATTTAAAATAAAAGAGAAAATGGATTCATACTAATGTAATTAATATAAGAAGGTCTATTCATTTAATTGAGTTTTTTTTCAGGAATTTTCAAATTACAAAAATCGAAGTGTTGTAAAAATATTTTGGATGAAAATTTTCAAATTAAAAAAAGAAACAATTTATTCAAAAATCAAATAAATCATCGCAGATATTTGTAATGGTAATCCCAACTTTGGTCGAATAGGAAAAATGTCGAAAAATTCGAAAAGGGACGTGGTAGGTAGCGCTATTTTTTCAACATTTTTACTATTCGACATTTTTCCTTTCGACCAAAGTAGGGTGAACCTTCAACATCACTCAACTAGAAACATTTATTATTATAACAAATTTCTAATAATATCCAATTAATTTACATAAGTTAACCATGTAGTAATACGATTTGCTAGAAAAATAAAAATTATGATATTATTTCTCATATACAATTTCAACTCACCAGGGCCAAGACCTGAAAAATAATCTTTCTCTGATTTCTAAATTTAATATTTTTTTTACTAAACTGAAGATCTTCAGCTATTATCATACTTTTATTTGTTACACCTTCAATTAATCGAGATAAACTAGAAACAATTGGTGGATCTTTATTTCTTAATCAATCACTAAAAATAAAATCAAAATCAAACTATATTTCAAGGTAAATACACAATATACAAAACAATAAATTTAACTATGATCCGTTGATAACCATGAAAAGCTTTGGATTTTAAGGAGCAAAAATAATATTTGGTTGATATGTATTGAAATTAAATATGAAAATCATATATTTGTTTTTTCTTAGTTCGTATCTTTTGCTTACTCTACAACTGACATGTTCATGTTTTGATGTTTCATGATTTTGTACAATCGTTCTGCTTATCTACAATCATCATTAAAAATAATTATCTTAAATTAAATATTCATCAAAATACTGATGAAAATAAATCATATGAAATACACATATTTTAGTCTTTAGTTCGTATCATAGTACTAATGCTTTTCGTCTTTTCTCTGTTAAATTTAACTACAAGCATTCAGACTTAGACTGATATACTCTAGTTTTGATCAAAACAATTTCATTCATAATATTTATGTTTTAAATCTCGAAAAATGCTTAAAAATTTATTGAATAAACTAATACTAGTTTTATGTCTATTCTTCTCATTGCTATTTTTTGCACGAAACCTTTTTTCATAAACCCTTCGTATTCATTGAAAGTTTGTATTTGTATATATAATCTGCATTTAAGAAATATAATAAACAAATAATTTCAAACTATATACATGTCGGAATAATTTAGGAAATGATATTCTATTATTTATTTCAAACTATCATTGATCATATTGGAAGATTGTTTTTGAAAAAACACGTCACAACCATATTTTTGTTTGCTTAATGATTTGTATAAAATCCTTGAATATCTCGTCGATCTTTCACTTAACAAAATAGAAACACAGCATTCAACTATAAATTCAACTACAAATAAAATCATCCGAACAACACAATGTAACAATCTACCGCATGTAGAAACAACTAACAATAAATAGACCTTTTATTTTTCAGTACCTGTTACTGATCCTATAATCAGCTGTTTTAAAGTATTGATCACGAAATCGTGAGCGACAGCACGTTATAAGAGTAAAGAGCGAGAATGTTCTTTCTAGTAGATTTTCTAATATTTCTTATTTCTATGTATATAGAAGATACTCTTGGTAAAGCAAGTCATTTGATTTTTTTAACATATCATTTACCAGTTAATTTTGCTTGACATTTTGGACTTAGCTAGATAAAGTCAAATTTTCGAAGACTATTTCGAGATATATTTCACATTCTTCGAAATAATTATCGGGACTTGTATTATTTATTTTAGAATTTTTCATTTATGAAACTGTTGAAAGTAATTGTAAATTTTGTTTATTATTCGTATTCATATCATCTTTGCGTTCTTGTTTAGTTAATGTTCGATTTTTTCTAATTATTTGCACGAACATGATCCGGAGCTAGAAAAATTCAGATATGTTTTATTTTTAATGGAAAGAAATTAAATGCTATTTACTAATTGTAAGCATTTCTTCAGTTACTATTAAAGCATGTTCAATATTTTCTTGCGACAAAAAATCTAATTTAATTAACAATAAAGAGAGAAAAAAAGAAAATCTTTTTTTACTTGTGATGTTGAATAATTAGCAAGATGTTTTATTAATTTTCCTATTTAAATGATCGAGTGCTTCTTCTTGTATCTACATTAATCTATAATAAAAATCTCCATTTCTATATGCAACACACTCCAAGCCTATAAACAAATAAATTGTAGAAAAATCAATAAAGAAATTTTATTCGACTAACTGATCAATTCTTTTGATTTAAATTTTTTAACTATTTCACCATTTACTAATTGACTTCTATTTTATTTTCAATATGAAAAATCTAGAAAAAAAATTCATTGTTGCTTAAATGAAATTATTCTCATTCAATTATTTATACTAACAGGTTATAATTCTTCAATATCATACCATTCGATTGTTAAATATTTAATACATAAATATGAATTAACTCAATTACCAAAATAATATTCTTCATTTCTTTCTACTTCTCCAATTTCATCTTTAACTATATTTATAACTCTTTACAAAAAATTACATACATATGTATATGAATCTATTTTAATAGTTATTCTTATCGCCGATATTTAATTCTTGTTAACAATATCAACAATTCGAACATTTAATTTCGTTTTATTTTAAAGTAATAGTCGAGCTTGACATCTATAATCGAAGTTATTAACAACACAAATTTATGAGAAAAGATGAGAAATATCCCAGGTTGAACAATCCGGCACGGAAACGGCCGGTTACATGGTATTCCGGAGATTTCATGCAAGTAGTATTCCCGTTGAACGGATCCGGTGATCGAATTTATCTGGTTTAGACCGGAACTGACAGGAATATGTCAAAGCCGGCAGCCGGATACGGTTACCTCACTTCTCCATCGGATTCCTGGCATTTTTCGAGCGGATTAGGCTCGGAAATGGCGAGTTTCCTCAAGGATTTTACCGGAAATTCATGGAATCCTGCTTCAGGAACCACCGTGCTGGGATCAACAAATATCTGTTTTTTTTCTTTTCTCTTTTCGTGCAAGCATGAATGAATTTTGTGATGCGATCGAAATACATTCTTTTTCTTACATTGAAATACTTGTCAATAGTTGAAATAGAACGAAAAGATAAGAAAAATCACATTATTTTGTGATTATAATAACTTTGTATTTAGATCAAAAGTATCGCTCTTATCTTGAAATAAAATAATCTACGAGTTAGTTTATTTTGTTATATCTCATTGAATAATATAGAAATTAAATAAATATATATTTTATTAAAAGATTATCTAATCTATCTACAAATTATTCATATATTCAAATGTTATTTAACAGAAAGATTAGTGGCGGCGCCAAGGGAGGGGTGGGGTGGGTTCAGCCCACCCTGAAATTATTTGAGCCCACCCTGAAATTTTTTTCAGATCTTAAAAAAACAGTGATATTCTATCTGAGCCCACCTTGTTCGAACTTTATTAGGCCTGAGCCCACCTTAGTCAAAAATCCTAGCGCCGCCGCTAAGAAAGATAATTGTATGATAAAATAAAAAAAGAAATTGCTTTGGTTTGATTGTTTAGAAATAAAAGTATTTTATCATCTAAATGAAAGAAATGAGATATTTGACTCTATTAATAATTATTTCTTTTTTAAATCTTAATTTTATACTTTTATTTTAGATGAAAAGAATAGTCGCGATTAGAGGTGTAAGCCGTGCGGCTTAGCCGCCGTCGCCGCCGATGAGCTATAAAAATTTAAAGCTGCCGCCAGCCGTGCCAGCATAAGTTTTTAAAAATTAAGCCGCCGCGCCGCCGATGGCATTCGAAATTTTAAATTTTCGAGCCGCCGCCAGCCGACACTTAAGATTTTATTTATTTTTTTGCACATTTTTGATGAACATTTATATTTTTATTTATTGTTCAGCTTTATATTAGTTATGTACTTTATTATATTGAGATGTAAAATGAGGTTTCTACAAATATTTATTTTAAAATATAAAGGATTGGATATTGATATGGACAAGTTTTATTTTCTCATAATAATATAATAGTTTTTTAAACTTCAAGCCGCCGCGCCGCTGAAGCACTTTCGTTACAGCCGCTGCACCGCCGATGGCATTCGAAGTTTTAAAAATTTCGAGCCGCCACTAGCTGGCAACCTTAGAATTTCACAGCCGCGCCGCCGAATATTTAAAAAAAAAATTTAAAATTTGGCGCCGCCGCCGATGACCCTACCGGCTTACACCTCTAAATATAATGTAAATAGCATAATAAAGTGATTGTATGTTATTCTTCTCAGGCATAATTTTATCTCGCATTTTGAATGGTAAATTAGAAAATCAGTAAATGAGAATATTTTAAATATTAATGAGAGAAAACTTCTGAAGTTTAATTATTTAAGTAGTATATAAGAAAAAAAAAGATGGATAAATATTTATTTGAGCCTGTAGTCATCGCGATTTGAGCTTGATTGGCTTGATTAGAGCCCAATTGAAAATTATCGGGCTCCATTAAGGATTTTCGAGAATGGCCAATTA